GAGCAAGAGAGAGAGAGAGAAGATGAGATGTTAGGGGAAAGCAAAAGATGGCAGGAGTGAGGAAGGGAAGGGAGCTGAGGTAGGGAAAAGGATTTGAGTGTGACGGGGAGGCAGGTCTGAATCCCAGGTGGGCGTGGACAGACACAGTAACTGTGCCGGGCAGTTCAATGGTCACAGAAACCAGTGCTGTCCAGTGGCCGTGAGTGAGGTCCAGGAGTGACCGAATTTGATTGGAAAGGAGATGAAAAGAGAACTGGCAGAGAGTAGTGAAGGGGAAAGGGGAGAGAGAGAGGGAGAGAGAGGGGGAGAGAGAGGGAGAGAGAGCTGAACGGAACGGGAGAGGGGAGAGAGATAGAGGGTGGAAGTGTACCTTAATGCCGAATTAGTGGTGTTCACAGAGGCCAGTAACCACAAGCGAGTCCGAAAATTTTACGTGCGAGGCCCCTTGAAGTAAGAGCCAGGTTTTGGCACCATTTGTTAGGTAGAGAGCGGGCGGGAGCGAGTGGGCGGGCGGAGGAAGGCACCGAGGCGCTGATGGAATTCTCAGCGGGACACAGATTTATTTCACACGGGGCACCTTTCCCTCGGGGGAGGGAAAGATGTCGGTGGAGGGAAAGAGGGAAGGGAAGGGAAGGGAAGGGTAGGGAAGGGAAGGGAGAAGGGAGAAGGGAGAAGGGAGAAGGGAGAGGAAAGATGTCCGCCAAGGGAAAGATGTCCAGGAAAGATGTCTGCTCATGGGTTGTGAGCTGGGACTTTACATATGGGGGCTTTAGGGTGTGGAAGGGGGGAATGTTTGGGGGAGAAATCAGGGAGGGGGAAGCAGGTAGGATTAGGGTGTGGAAGTGTTTTATTTTTCCCCTTAAGATAAGAGGAACTCTGCTTATCTTATCTTTGGAGGTCAGAGGAAAGGCAGGCTGCTTCTCAGCAGAGTTTGTAGGTCCCTGTTGGGGAGGGGGGAGCTGCTATTTGGAACCCTAACAGCTTTAGTCTGGTATTTCCACATTATGCCCCCATTTTTCCTTTTTGAAATGGGAATGCATATTCTATGCCTTTGTATATTGGAAGTATCTAATTTGCTTTTTGGTTTTATAGAAGCTTAACAGTGCTTAGATCTCAGAAGACTTTGGACTCTGGTCTTTGAATAGTGTTCAGCCTGTTAAGACTATGGGCACCTTTAACATCCAACTAAATGCATTTTGCATTATGATAGAGTCATGAGCCTATATCATAGGGGCCAGAGAGTGGAGTGTGTTAGTTTGAATAAGAATGTCCCCCATAAGCTCCAAGTATTTCAACAATTTGTCCCCAATTGGTAGCACTGGTTTGGGAGAGCAGGCGTGGCTTTGCTGGGGGCTGGACTTTAGCCTTGCCACATTTCCTGTTTGCCTCTGTTTCCTGTGTGTGATTAAAAAGGTGAGCTCTCAGAGAGCTTTCTGTTCTGGCCATCTCCAGCTTCCATACCTCCCTGCCATAATGGACTTTTATTCTTTTGTATCAGTAATACCAATAAATTCTGCCTTCTATAAGTTAACTTAGCCATAGTTTTTATCATAGCAACAAGTGGTAACTGATACATCTGGGATACATAAAAAACTCAAATGAAATAACAAATCACCTAAGCCAATCAGTAAATAGGCTAATGATCAGACACTTCTCAAAAGACGAAATATAAAAAGCCAATAAACCAATGCAAATGTTCAGCATCGACAGGAATATACCGAAACACATTAAGAAAATGCAAATCAAAACATACTGACTTTCTGTCTCACCCTTTTCAGAATTATATCATTAAGAAAATCAATAATAATGCTGATGAATATGTGAAGAAAAAGGAACTTTATACACTACTAGCACATACTAGCAGTATGAATATTCCTCAAGAAACTTAAAAACAACTTATGCACCCTGGCTAAACCATTTCGAGAGTTTTAACCTAAGAATTCTAAACATACACGTCATATGTTTATTGCAGCACCATTTATGATGTTATAAAGTCAAACTAGGCCTTCATCAACAGAAGAATAAAGAAAATGTATTATACATGTACAAAAGAATTACATATAGTCATGAAGATGAGTGAAATTATATCATTTGCAGGAAGATGGATACAACTGTAAACTATCATATTAAGAAAATTAAATTAGACTCAGAATGACAAATGCTGCATGCTTTCTCTCATTTGTGGACTTAGATCTTATAGAGGTACAAAAAATCATATATGTACAGATGACAGAAAGCAGAAGTGAAACTGAGGGGAAAAAAGTGAGTAAAGGGAGGGCTAGAGGAAGACAAAGAAAATGTAGGGGATCAGGAACATTATAGATTTGTATGGAAATGTCCTTGTGAAGCCAGTACAGTGTTCAGTGTTTTAATAATACAGCAATTAAAAACAGAAGGAGCTGAGAAATAGTCACACTTCAATTTTTAAAGGATTTAATTTCTTAGGTAATGGCTACAATTCTGGCACTTGAGCAGATTAAATCATCTGTTTATGGAATCTTTTTGTAGAAATGTTTTTAAATCAAAATTTCTTTCTTTACAAGATAAAGTGTTATTCATAAAACATAGTTCATCATAAATAGGATTTGATATGTGAGTTTTAAGGAAATTAACTTTTCATGTTTTCATATAATGATAGATGTTGCTTTACATTCTTTTATTCTTTTTAGTAATTAGCTATAGACTCTGTGTTAATTTATTTACTTTTCTTTTCCTAGTTAATCTGACTTCATTTTTACTGAACTTCTTAAAGAGTCATTTGCTGGTTTTATAACCTCTTGAGTTTTTTCTGTTTCTTTAAATGTACAAGTTTCCTCTGCCTACTAAGTATTGGTAAAATTTGTGAAAGAAGTGAATTACTCATCCATTTGATAATTGGTATCAAAATATTTGGTCACTTTGGAAAAGATTTTAAGGTTTCTTTTTTTTCTCCTTCTTTAACTTTATTTGCTTAGGTATTTTGTCATAGTAACAAACACTAACACAATGTGACAGGTACTGTCTTAAATGCTTTATATGCATTACCTGATTTAATTCTTTATGAGGTAGGTACTAATTTATTCAGTTATACACATGAGGAAGCTGAGACTCACTGAAGTTAAATGACTTTCCAAGACCACAGATCTACAAAGTTGCAAAGTTGGGATAGAGGCTCAGGCAGTCCTGCTTCTCCTTAACATTCTTCCAATTTTTAAATACAGTCTATGCCAATTTCCATCCAATTCCTCCATCCAAAAGCATGAGGAAAACATGCTTTCAGAAACTTCCTTTCCATTAGGTATTTCACAAAGTGGACATCATATATGGCTTGACTGTCTGAATGCGTTGCTTCGATGGTCATGTCTGACTACCTCAGAGCCAGCATGGCCTCAGTGTGGTAATATGTCCTAACTGAAAAGATTTTGGGGTTTCTTAAAAGTTATCATTATCATATGGCTCAGGCACTTTCATGCTAAGATTTTACCCAGTTCAAATTATACATATTATATATTATATATAATGTGAATATATTATATATAAATATTTATCCTCATAAGATTTGTGCATGAAAATCATAGAAGCTTATTTCAGAAGTGGCTTAAGTTGTAAATAATCTAAATGTCCATCAGCTGCTAAGTAGGATAAAAAGTATAATGGCTCCATGAGGCTGTAGTGATGGCTTAGCAATTAAGAACCCTGGCTGCTCTTGCAGAGGATTTGAGTTCGATTCCCAGCACCCATGTGATGGCTAACAACCATCCTCATCTGACTCCGTGGTCATTGCATGACATGGGTGTATGTATACACATGCAGACAATACACTCATACACATAAACGTAAAAATAACAAATAGAATACTTTTTTAAAAGTATAATGGATCCAAGCAGGATGTGGTGGTGCATGCCTTTAATCCCAGCACTCGGGAGGCAGAGGCAGGAAGATTGTTGTGAGTTCAAGGCCAGCCTGGTCTATATAGTGAATTCCAAGACAGCTGAGGCTACAGGGAGACCCTGTCTCAAAAAAACCAAAAAAAAAAAAAAAAAAAGAAAGAAAGAAAGAAAAAGAAAAACACAGAAAAAGTATAATGGATCCAAATAAAAAGGAACAAACTTGAAATTTGCAGTAGGACTATGTTGAATAAAAAAAAAAGGAGCCCACATTTTCCAAAATAAAATACAAATGTACACAGTGTTTGATTTCATTCAAGTAAAATTCTAGAAATTGCAGACTAATATTAAGAGTTACAGATCAGTGCTGTTGGGAATGGTGAAAAAGACTGATTACAAATATGCAGGAGATAACTTGTATTGGTAATCACAATATTCTAATGATTGAATGATGATCTCACAGTTGTGTACATATTTCAAAATTTAATAAATAGTTGAAATACAATCTGTGACACTTAATAAATTTTTTTTTTTAAAAACAAGATTTCTCAAAGGCCACAAATGGCCAAAATGTAGAGAATAAGAGTTTGCAGATTTGGGTCCTTGGACAGGACTCCCATATTAAATTCTACCTACCCAGTGCTCAGGGCCCATTGCAGAAGATGGTGGAGGCAAGGTTGTTAAGAGTCAAGGGAGGAGTTCTATGATCATATGGAAACAGAGTCTTACAGGCTCCTGGGCCCTTGCTCATAGGAATCTACATCAATGGTTGCCAGCATGCACAAGATCCAGGAAAACTCAAGCAGACAAAAACCCAGCATAGAACTGGGGAAACAGGCAGCAGGCCCCAATCTTAGCAGAAGAAATATTGCAGCTGATTGCTGGTCTTCTTTAAGGGAGTGACTCTAGATAGGTTGACTAGACCCCAGTGGATGAACTTGCACTGAGGAATATCTGGGTACAGTAACATGCCTCAATAGGCCTTAACATAAATGACAGAATGCATAAAATCTGGTGGGGTGTGGGATGGGAGGGTGCAGATGGGGGTATAAAGATGATTAAGATGTTTTGTATGAAATACACAAAAATTTCATGAAAATATACAAAAAAGATTTCTATTTCAATTACTTTCAGGAAATGTAGGAAATGCTGTTGGTCAGTCTCAAAGTACTTCAAAAAATGTCACAAAAATGTCAACATCTTCAGTTGCTTATCAGCCAGATATACAGAATAACATTTCAGAACGAAAGGTAAAAATGTCTGCATTTAATATTAGTTTACCTGCTTAATTTTACTTATGTGTTCTGTATCCTTTACCAACTGAGTATTGATTAATTAAGGGTTTTGAGATCTTTCAATCAAAATTAGTCCTTTTCTCAGACAGAGAAGTGTTGATTTAGTTTTGTTCTAGATTACTCTGAAATTTAGCAGAAACAAATCCAAATAAGACATTATCAATTAGGACAATATCAATGATATCATTGATATCAATATCAATGTTGATATTTACTGAGCATATAAACAAACCTTCTCATTTTGCTGACCAAGCACTGGGATAATCCAAAAGAAGAGAAAATAAGTATATTGAATCAATAGAATCAAAGAGGAGCGAGATACAGTCAACCCCCTTGAGGACACCTTGGGCAATGAGGCATAGACAGAGAAAATGCATTACAATATAATTAATATGGAACTGTTAATTTTTACTCTGGCTCTAAGGCATGTTTTAAATAAGCATCATATGATATTGAATAGGATATGGATTGGTAGAATTGAATTTTTCCACATCAAATTGAATGACATTTTTAGAAAACTATCCATTGATAGTTTAACCAAGATATGGAAATGGTAGAGGTGTAACTGATACTTTGTTCAGTTTTGAACTAAATTTGAGATCGTGTCAAAGGCATCCTGGAAGGTTAAAGATGTGTATGGGCCTTGATAGAATCTTTATGACAGGCATAAGACATGAAGGGGCAAAAAGCATCTGCATTCATGTACTTAACTGTTAGAAGGCAAGATCTGTTTCAGAAGCACTGTTACTCATGAATATTTTCCCTTTAATGTTGTGTCATATAGAGAAATGGAATGATGACTAAGAAATCAAGTGATGAAAGAGGTAAGATTAAGGACAATATTAATAATTCTTACATACTGTTCAATATGGTTACAAAGAGAATGCTTATTCTGAAAATTAAATGATACAAAAATATTTAATACAAATGTTAAATATGCAGATACATTTAATTGAACAAATTAATATAGATACTAATATCTATACAACCAAATATTTGTGTAATTTGTGAGAAATCAAATAGTGAAAATTCTTGCTTTGGCTATCTATGGTGGTGGGTAAAGAAATTTATGGACATACTATGATTTATGAGATTGCAATAAAGAAAATTATCTCGAGGATATCGCCATACTCTTCTATCATCAGTTTCCTACAAACACCACATCCAGTAACATACGTTACTTAAAATTTTTGTG